AATCGATGTTCCAGAGGTAGTCCTACTTACAGAAACGTTTAATTATGATTTCATTATATTGAATAAATTAACTTCATTAATTTTTTATTTAAATATAACAAATTCAATACATTCAAATTTAGATTTCAATATTTTTATGACTTTATCTGAAAACCCAGGTGGAGGACATTTTGTGGAGCTGTATTGCAAAATGAAGTCCATTAAAAATCCATTCAAATGAATGTGTTTTGTTTTGAAGTTTAATTTTGGCAGATTACAAAAATGTCCTCAGATTAGGGTAAATAGGCACAGTTAGCCATAATTTTGACGTTTTGTCACAAAACTGGTGCTGGGCTAATGAAATAAATGCGGGAGAGCTGTTTGGAAAAGTTTAATCGTGTTGTTAATGTTGTGCATGTTGAGTTAATTCAATCAGTACAATCCAAATAGCTAATTTCCTTCAAAAATTTAATGACTGGATTATTTACAATATATGATCATAGCAATAATCAAGTCATGAAAAGAAACATAATCTAGATGAGCAAAAACAAAAGGAGTCATTTGACATTTTTTATAACACAAATTCATAACACAATTTAAACATTTCATGAATACAAAAAAATAAACAAAACTGGTAAGTTTAACAATAAACAACATCATTCAAAAAAAGTGATCTGGAAAAGCAGTGAAGCAGGAAAACCCACATTCAGCATCAAAATGGTGCATGCCACCCAAAAAAAAACAAAAAAACAACTCAACCAATAAGGAAGAGCAGAAATAGAGTTTTGCTTCAACAAATGATCAATTATGTATTTATATTATATATATATATATATATATATATATAACTATTTATATAATTCTGTACAAATAATGAATATTTGGTATTATATTCACCCTTCATATAGATATGATATACAGTATAATAAATGAAAATATTCTCAGCTAAACAACTACCTTTTTCATTTGTTAATTTCACTAAGATTTTATAATCTTTCCACATTCTGAGATCCAGGATTAATCCAGTCCCAAGATGAAGCTTCTCTAGAGTATGAAACCGAAACCGGGGCATCTCAGTCCGCACCGGTACCAAAGGCCCGCTGGCTGGTTTCAAATACTGTGGTCCGGAGGGTTAATCATTTTCATTGAATCATTTCTTTTTGTTAAATACTGACTTATGATTTATTTTGATGGAAATAAATGTACATATGAATAGAGTAAATGCACATGATGTTCATGAAAGCATATTTAAACAAGATGACCTCCCAGTGCAACCCTGCTGAAGAAACTGATTCCACTGTTCAAAAAGGTGACAGGTGAGCATTTGTTTTTCCAGATGTTTGTTTAGAGGTCAGCTCACCAAAACACTTTCAGACTGTCGTGTTGAAATGATATGATGAAACATGGGAAAGACTGTGTGCGTGAAGGTCTGTGAACAGCAGAAGCTGTTCAAACATGTGGCACATAAACATATTTGGCACATAAACACTGCCTGCATTACTGGCATGTTTGCATATTGATAATTGATCAGGTTAATCAGAATGAACAGCTGCCACACTGTAGGACCGCATAATCACAAAAACAATGTCCTCACCACGTAGGGGGAAAAAAATTATCATAACCAAAGCATGATTAAAATAATCAGTTCATTATCAATAATTCAATTTGCCATAATGAAAAATTTATATCATATAATCATCTGGTAACACTTACAATAAAGTTTCAATAGTTAACATGAATAAACAATGAATGACTAAATTTTTAAATAAATGCTGCAAAAAATATATTGCTCATTGTTAGTTCAGATTAATCAATGCATTAAGTAATATTAACAAATGAGACCTTTTTGTAAAATGTTACCCATCAGTTTAGAGTGTATTTTTTAACAGTCTGACTAGTTTGTAAGGCCAGGAGAGTGTCAGTAATGACCTATGGATTTCTGTAAACCCTGAGGGCCACGACTCGCACTACAAAGCTGTGAACTGTCCAGAACGTGTTCCAAATAATGATTAACAAAATAATCCATCAAAACTTCTGTTGGTGTGAAATGAGAGCTAGAACACTGTATTGTGACTTTAGGTGCAATTTACAGATGAAATGCTTGTGTTTTGGCTTGTGTTTTGAAAAAAATACTCCCGAAATTTCCTCTAGCCTGAAACCAGTTTCATTGATTACAAGCCTCGCGTAGATTAAATGCTGTAATTGTGTTTGAACAATGACTTAAGCAAAAAAAAAAAAACAGAGCACAGGGAAATTAAAAGAAAATATTTGCTTCTAACGACAAGCTCTTCTCAAGGTCATCTCGCAAAGGAAATTGAGAATATAAAGCTCCAAGGAAGTCGAGTGGAAGTGATAAAACTAATCTCCTCTAATCTCTGGCCTCCTCTCTCCTTCTATGACGCAGAAGCAAAAACAGGGCCATCTCTAGAGGGGAAATAGCTTGACTTTTGAAATTAAATGTAACCTTGTATGATAGACAGAGGATGACTGCAATGATATATAGTAGATAAAATATGGCATTTTTAAATAATATGGCATTTGTGAAAGTTTTTGAGGCTGTCGGCAGTGACACTTCGGTGGCTGTGAGTCACTAAGAGGGAACCATAAGTGGTCATGCATTTATGCTTAATATTAACAGAACATCAAACTCTTTTATCTGAAGTGTTAGAGCTGAAATCTCTCTCAGGAACAGAAAGTGGGTCTCTTTAGTAATATATTCTGAACAAAGCCAACAAATTCAATGATTGTATAACAATCCAAAGCAACATTGGCACTGTCCGCTTTTGGTTTTGATATTCTAATATAATCAACCATCCTGTGTACTGCAGTCGCCTGTTTAGACAAACGCCATTAAATAGACTCAAGAACAGTTCTACTTTGATTATACAGTTAAAACATTCTGCACATTCTCACAGATGTGTCTATCTCTCACATCTATCACCCACCGCCAAGTCATCTAGATAATAATGGGAATGCCCGATTTCTCCTTTCAGTCGAGACAAAATCATTGATTTTCTTTGTCAAGATACACAGAAAATAATATAGATAAAAAGCAGTTTTTTTGCAAAGAACATGGGCCAGATGCTTGATAACAGCAGATGGAGTGGAAAATGGTTCAATAAAAATAAATACAAACTGATGAATGACTATGAGGCTGAAGGGATGAAACATTCAGAGACATGAAATGATAAATCAATAATCACACAAAACCTTGCAATTCAACTGCAACAATATCTTTTAGAACATCATTTCCCTTGGAAATACATACAAACATACATTTAGAAGAAGAAAGTGCAAAATTGCATTTTTGAACCTTCACATTGTTGAATTTAGGTTTTAAAGGGGTCATATGATGTTGCTAAAAAGAACATTATTTTGTGTATTTGGTGTAATGAAATGTGTTTATGCGGTTTAAGGTTAAAAAAACACATTATTTTCCACATACTGTACATTATTGTTTCTCCTCTATGCCCCACCTTTCTGAAACGCGTCGATTTTTACAAAGCTCATCGGTCTGAAAAGCGAGGTGTACGCTGATTGGCCAGCTATCCAGTGCATTGTGATTGGCCGAATTCCTCAAGCGTGTGACGGAAATGTTACGCCCCTTACCATATTGTGATGCCTGCGGCAACCACATGTGACGACCCCGGGCTGGACTCCGCTTCGTCCACGGTGAAAGCCAATCCGGCGATCCACAGCGCGAAGTTGAAGTATTTCCTCAGCGACCAGCACGGATCAGCTCCAGGCATGACGAAGCGATATCGTCCTCTTTTGGAAGGCCAAACAAAGTAGTTTCACTTTCACAACGAAACACACAGCGCCTTCACGACATGGCAGCCACGGCAACAATACTACAGCGAGAATAAAAGTTACGCTTTCTTTCTTTAAGTGAACATTTGGGCGGCATTATGCAAATGTTCCCACATCGTGACGTAGACATGTGGGGGCGTGTTAGAACGAGCCGTTTTAGGTAGGTGTGGCTGACTCTTAACTTTTATAAAGAATATCTCTTTGGATTTGAGACTTTAGTCTTTGCAACTTTACAGATCTTCTTTATGCACCAAAAGCTTGTAACACTCCAAAGAGAAAGGAAAAATTTAAATCGCATCATATGACCCCTTTAAGCAATTGCACCCAAAAACCTACAGTAATTCCTCTAAAATGACATAAACCATAAATATCAAGTATGAAGTAGTGTGACAGCTCTATATTTGATATCAGTAAGTAGATGAATAATAAAAACTGATCTTCAATCCAGCAATGTAAACCCTCAGGCTGAGATTTAAATTTTCCCGACCAACAACGTTTTTTTAAAAGGCTGTGACTGTCCGCTCTGGCCAACGGCTTCAGTCTAAAATGTATGATTGAGGTATTTCAGCACTGGCACTTACATAAATGCTCACAGGAGAGTTCATGAGAAAAATACTATGAACTTCACTGAGACGGAGAGAGAGAACAACAGAAACACAAAGACGAAGAGAGAGAGAGAGAAATGAAATGTAAGAACGGAAATACAAAGCTACAGAACTTGAACGAATGGAACCAGATGGAACCGGAACTAAAGACTTTTCTTCAGGTTTCTTAATTTAATGAAAACAAATGAATTCTTTAAATCTGAGGCCTCAAAAAATGTCCATATTTCAATTTTGAAAGTGCTAAATGTATGTCATAAAGACACTCACAGAGAGATCATCAGATTGGCTGTGATTAAAGCTTATATGTAAAGTTTTGCTTCGTCAGGCAACGTCATTGTC